AAGATTGTTATAGTGACAGTTAAAACTTTATGGTAAGGAGGAGGGAGACCAGTCCTACTGTCCAAATTCTGTCCATAGATAGGTCGAATACCTGTTATACTCAACAGGGTGGCCATGGGAACACTTTACTTTCCTCACGTCACCCTAAGTCGAAATCACTCAAAGTGGTATCCCTAGTTCAAGTTCTTAAATTTTTGGTACACATATAACGCACCTAGCTGCTGACTTCGATGCCTAGTAGCGCGAGATCAACCGAATTTACTGATTTCAAAACCTAGCATGTTTTGAGTTTGCACAACGCACGTTATGTCCTGAATGCTTGACAGTCCACCAACCAGTCACCCATGCTGAGGTTTCTTGATTCGCTTTCTTGTTTTCACAACCGCATGCCTATAAGCGTGTTTTACACAGTCCAGCCTGGAAAGATGAACAAAAGTTTGCTTCACATCAAAACAGTAATTTTGGTGCACTGTGAGTGCTTTTTCAAAATGATTTGTTCAACTGATTTACAGAGTTGTTTATTCCTGCTACATTACAACGAGTCGCTTCTATATTGCTTGCGGGAATTTTTAGGGGGACCAATTAATGGAGGCTAATGGATTCAACTCTGCCATCAGAGACAACTAGTGCTTCAGCAAAATGTAAATTGGGACCAGAATCGCAATAACTTAATCATTGAAGCGTTGCCAAATAATGTATTTCTTTTACATGCTAATGACAACAGAATTAAAACTCCTAGGTTATATTGAAATATAAGTTTCCGAATTATCCTAATTAGTTTATTAAGCATTAATCGTGCCGTCACAGTATCGTAAAGTCCACACAAGTCAGCGTTCCACGTCATCGATAACAAAACTGCATTCCGTAAGGGATCGGAACAAAAGGACGTTGGAAAAGCAAAGATGTCCAGTGTCATTACTCTTTTACTGGAAATAGTGTCAAAGGCGAATAAAATACTAGCGGAAAACGGTAAACATATTTTAACGTGCTTTGCAAGCCAAACGGGGAAACGAAAAAAATCCCAAAGGTTTGATGGGGAAGGCTATTATCTCGAATATGCAGTCATTTACGACTTAATAAACGTGACAAACGCCATTGGAAATCTGCGTGGTTGTTAGTTGGAGACATTAGCGAATTGAGCTCAACAAAAAATGAGTTAGTAGAAAAATTAACTCCGGTATTTGAATCGGGATAACTTAATTATCGTCGAAAGATCAAATGGTCTGCGCTACGTAGCTTGAGAATATTAGGCAAGTCATACATGACTGCTTTAAACCAGCATATTGAGTCCTTTTTCGGAACTAGCTTTGACATGGGAACGACCTAAGATCAGTCATGGGAAAATTACTGAAGCTAAACATTCTGGTTTAAAGAGATGCAATTTGGGAGCCCATGTACTTGTACTTACTAATGTAACACATTTCTATGAAACTATGCCCGAAAAAGTACTTCTTCGTTGAATACAACCTTCAAACATTACAGACGAAGTTATGAAATTTAGATTTGCATCAAGTAACATTTGGTAATTCCGGTCTTTTGACACTGACCGGTTTATATAAAGCGGTTTTCGTGTTAAGTTAAATGAGGAATGGTGGTGGTCATTGCAATTCGTCTTTTTACAATTATCAATAAGAATTTTAATGATCACACACACGTCCGTGTTAGCAAAAGATGTGATTGAGGGCCTGAGGTTGACTGACCAAAAAGGATCATTATCTTCGGATTGGTTAAAGCATTAAAAAACCAGAAAAATATTTATGTAGTCGCTCACCCAATATATTCCCCAGTTTCAAGTCAACTTCAGACGAAACCACAAATGTCAAATAAGAAGAATAAAGAAAAGTCACTAGCGTTGACTGGACGACATTTGCCGCTTATGACTTGAAGGTAATTGTAAATTTAACAGATTGTTTGCCTTACATGCTGTTTGGAGAACTGCAAATGTTGGTATTTTGTTCTTGAAAATTAATAGAATTTACTAACGGTTAAATTAAACTGTGTTTATAGCGATTACTTTATAATGCCCTTGGCATGCATAAATTTTTTCGATATTGGAATACTGAGTTAAAGTAATAATGCTTGCGAGAATTACAAAAGATATTATATATTGGTTTGGTTTTTTTAACGGAACACACCTGCCTGAAATTCCCTTCCTCGGATGCTTGCTTCAAAGCTGGTCATGGCCAATCTGGTTGACCGAATAATGTTGATATTGGCAAACTTTTTTAAAATACCCGGGTCCTAGTATGAAGCTAACACATTACGGCGAGAGTGGTGGCCTGGTTTCCCCAAGTCTAAGAACTCGTCCCTATCTTACAATCAATCAGCTAGATCATGGTCAGTGTCACAACTAGCTGGGTCAGATGTCACACCATTTTAAATTTCTCGTAGGGGACATTACTGCCACAATTCTATATAGCGTTTCTACTCATGGTATAAGACAAGCAAAGAATCCTTATACAGCGTTAATGTCACCCATAGCTTGATCCTTTCGACGTGGTTAGCACATTCATGGCATAATTTGACTATTTTCGTCCTGATTTCCCACTGCTTCATTCGAAAGATGCTAAAAATAAAAAAAGATACATTAATAATGGGATTGTCAAGTTGGAGACAGGCACTGCATACAAAATTCTCCCCCCTTCTACTTGTCTACCTAACTGATCGCTCGACGAAGCCACAAATATCTGGCGCGCTCATGTACCGAAATCTGTCAATATTTGTTGGCCCTTGCTGGTAGGTAAATATAATGACTCTGCCTCCCCAATACAATTTCCGGTGTAGACCATAGGCATTTTAGGTAAAGCCAGGATCTCAATCAGTTTCTGTGTTTTTTTTTGGACTCTTAGGAGTACCAGCAACCAACCTGATCTAAGTATAAATGGAAGAATTAAAAGCGCTGCTGATTCAGATGGATGACAGCTGACACCCGAACTAAGTCTGTGGCATGTGCAAATTCATGTCCTGTTGCAGCTGTCATTCCATCCTAGGGCCCGGATAGTTTAAACTATCTGTGCTTTCCATTGCAGGAGTGTCTAGTATCAAAAGTAGTGCCTTATAAGTTACTGATCTGGCATATAACCTGTTACAGCAAGCACAGAGGAAGCGTGGTACAAAATGACAACCGACGACGCCCTTCTTCACATCAGTTGCAAGCAGGAAAACGAACACCCATCAATTAGTAAAAAACTGATATTGATGATGACAGGCACTAATCTCACATGTTTAGGTTTGTTGTACATAAATGAACAAAGATTCATAGATGTAGAATCATGAATTCACTAAAAAATGACAAAAAGCATTAATACAAAAAGAAAATATGTGAATGGTTAACCACCACTCCTTCATTCAACAAAATTTTAGTTGCGATATAGCCATTTATAATATTGATCAAATTCCACTAATGTCTTAGCCCTACTTTTTGCCTTGAAATTTACTTAAATGTTTAAAATCAAAATGGTACGAAATTAGTTAAATGGGTGGTTAAATGACCAGTTAATGTGACCAAATCCAATGACCCCTTATAAATATCGAGCAGTTCCTTAAAACGGCTATGAATACGTTGTAATTTGTGATGAAGGCATCATTGCAGATTACCCGAGCCCTAGTATGATTGAGACTGGTACAAAAGAGCAAGCTTTATTGACCAATTATAAGCCAGAACCTAACGTTAGGCACCATCCATCCGAGTCTACCACGCTGGCTGCACTGTAGCGACGTCCGAGGGTGCAGACATATTGGAACACCCTGGCCATTCCTCTGTCTCTCTGCGTTTCAATGGCATGCGAGTAAAATAGACAGCCAACCAGAGAAAGACACGATTGAGGAGCAGTATATAATGAGCGGCGTGGCCAGCGTGGTGAACTCGGATGGACGGAGCCTAATATGTGGTTCTGGCCTGTGATTGGTTAATAAAGCCTGTTCTGTTGTCCCAGTCTTATTCACACTAGTGCTCGGGTATTCTACAGCACCGCTAATTACATGCAAGTTCTTCTATGTGTCTTTCTCTGGTTGGCTGCAAATCTTCCTCGCATGCCATTGGAACTCAGAGAGACACAGGATTGACTGAGGTCAGGTGTTCTAATATGTCTGCGCCCTGATCCGTCTGCCCGAACCCTAATAGGAAGAAGACTGGTACAACAGAACAGGCTTTATTGACCAATCACAAGCCAGAAACACAAGTCAGGCGCCTTCCATCCAAATCCACCACGCTGGCCACTCCGCTCATTATGCACTGCACCTCATTCGTGTCCTTTTCTGGTTGTCTGCTTATCTTCCTCGCATGCCATTGGAACTCAGAGAGACACAGGATTGGCTGAGGCCAGGTGTTCTAATATGTCTGCGCCCCGATCCGCCGCCACACTACACTAGACTAAGCCACTTTAATAAATCTATCCCTACTCTAGTCTTGAACATAGGTATATTTGGACACTTCTTTGTTAGCTACACGTTTTTCGAACACTAATATTAGCCCCTATTTTGACTAATGTCTGTTCATTTTTTGGACAAGATTTTATTTTTAAACCTAGTCAAAATAACATAACTACAAGTAATAAATTGTTAAATTTGGTATTGCTATTAGCTGGCTTTCCAAAACCTTGCTCTTACTGCAAAACTAAAGTGATTTATTTTTGAAGTAGTTTCGTGGTCATTAAGAACTACACAGACATTCGATTGGCTAGGAGCTTGTGGCGTGCCTTGTATGCTATCTCAGTGTGAATTTTAAGATAGATGGTTCTTTTTTCAGTAATCAGTTTGCCTTTCACTGTAGGTTGTTCTTAACGAACTACCTAGGCCAAATTCGTTTGATTTGACGATAAATATATAATAATGAGGGTGGTGCCCTCAATTGTATTAAGAGCATATCAACACTTGGTCCATCGTATAATCGACCTGCGTTAATTCGTTTTGAGGTTGCTGGGATTTTAACTGGGCATGCATGATGTATCACAATTAGTTTAGGCCATATTGTCACAGTAATATAAATTAGTTTTAGAGGTATGTGGAACTTCTCCAGGTTCTTCAGGCATACTTTCCGGAAGGGCATCCAGCGGCGAGCACACCATGTTTGCATCATTGGAAGCGGTCCTTCAGCCTTTTATGCAGCACACTTTTTATTGAAGGTGAATTTTTGCTCCAACTTTACGTCGACTTGTGTAGTCTGCGTTTTTGTGGACTACCGTTAAATGCGTTCGCGCAGCGACATCGTTTCATGCATTTTTGTTGTATGCAGCATCACAGTGGCCTTCATATCGACATGTTGGAGAAACTGCCCGCTCCATTTGGACTTGTTCGGTACGGAGTGGCCCCAGACCATCCAGAGGTGAAGGTAGACGCCATATTCGTCGATTCTTTTTATGTCGTAGAATGTTATCGATACATTCACGCAAGTAGCCAAAAATCCTCGTTTCAATTACTTCGGTAATGTAACGGTTGGGCAGGATATCAAACTGAGGGATCTTCGGCGATGCTATGATGCAATATTACTGGTTTGTGTGCTATCTAGCTTTTAGCAGTCATTTGTTCTTTAGGCGTATGGAGCAAGCGTGGATAGGCGAATGAATATTGAAGGTGAAGTGAGTGAAAACAATACATGCTATGGAACTTTTCCTCACTAGGATCTACCAGGTGTTATTCCTGCAAAAAACCTGGTCGCTTGGTATAACGGATATCCAAGTTTGGACATGGTACTTCAACCGGCAAAATTGACACATTTTGTTCACTTTTAAGTGGTACAGTAACTAAACGTGGTGTTTCTTTCACGGTATTAGCCCCCTCCTGATTTGGACTGCGAAACAGTGGCAATCGTCGGCGTTGGGAATGTAGCAATTGACGTCGCGAGGATTCTGTTGTCCCCCATCGAACGCTTACGAGTAGGTTCTGCAATTTTTTTTCTGGCATTCTAATTAACCTCTCGTTAGGTTTGAATTAACTCCTGTCTTATGCGTAAATCCACTTAGCTATCTTGTGGGGTCTATTTTTTGGGTCGTACAAGTCCTCAAGATTACAGAGGAATTCTTAACTGGTTTCCCTGAGGTGTGCTTCTCAGAGTGCTTGTGCACACACAAGGAAACCTCACATCTGCTTTCGGAAGCACTGTAAGATGCGTAAATGGACGGTTCTTTGTGGTAAAGCGGTGTTTCTACACGGCTGTTTTTGCGGCACCAGGGATCGCTATGTGAGCAGAGGCAGAAGTAGTGGTGATAGGTCATTTATGGACATAATCTGCGACTTAGTTACTTTGGCATCTGAATCTACGATGAGTAACAGTATTTTAATAAATGCCATCTACAGCATTTTAAATGAAAAAGCGCATTTCCTTTGCACCCGCTAATTAGCATTTTTACGGAGAAGTAAGCGCAGGTAAGGACTATTTCATAGCAACCGCAGCGTAGTATTTGCTCGAATACCTTGATGCGGCGGACGAACAGGTAGTCGATGAGATAGCCCACTTGACGTCTCGACTATTTAGTTGGAACTGAGGAAACTGGGTTTCAATCACTTGGAGGTAATGCAGGTTACCTTGAGCAAATGCTAACCCCGTCAGCTTGTTGTTTACTTGAAAAACCTCGGCTCAAAGCCAGGTTCCTTGGTTCCCCTTCACGTTGTTATAATGTGATAACGGAATCGCCCGTAAATTATGTTTGATTTACCAATGAGTCATTGATTTTCGATTGCTCTATTTGATATCTTACCATAGTGATCGCTTTAAGATAAGCATTTTAATTGGTTAATTGCATACCACATTTCGACGTTGTATGGGCGTGTCAAAAGTGCAACTCAATTAGTTCCTTGGACTCTGTGTGTGAAAAGAGTTATTTCTGTCATATATTGACAAAGCGTGGTAGCTTCATGATTTAATGCAATGTAAGAAACATTAAAAATAAAAAAATGTTAAAGGCCTTGGAAATTCAGTCGTGTCTTTTTTGTCGAAGTAGTACTTGTTTGTCTTTGCTTCTTCAATAATAATAATATTATTGTTATTACTGAGGTGTTACACACTGTCACGAGTTTTCTCACAAGTTGCGCGTCGATGCCTCAGGAGTGTCAATCTCACCGTAATCCTCCCTCCCTCTAACACAACCGAGGCACCACACACACACACACACAGGACTACTTAGGTGGTTGGTTGGCACGATGCTTGCACGCACAGCTCGCAAGGCTGTTCCCTGACTGAACTCACACCGGTGTTCTTCGTAAGAACTGACACCAGGACGCAGTGCCTGCAGGGTGCGACAGTGACGCCTTGTGTTCCAAGGCGCTGATCGAGTTTGTTGCTAGCCCGTTCGTAATGGAGGAGGGTGGATGCTTAATTTTGGCAGTTAAATCAACCTAATCTATTTATTTTTGCTTTTTTTTCAAGGAATCATGTGCACAAAATCCGTCTAATGGCCATGCTGTGGCATTGAAATGTCAGATAAATCTCCGAAATAGGTTGAGTTTAGGTGTGGAAAAAGACTTGTGGGGGATGGAGGGAGTAGTTCCTCTGTCCTTCGACTCTTGTTCAGTGGGTAGTGCATAAGTCTTCTTTAGACAAATGGCGTTGTGGGGTTTGTCTCTGGCAGCGCGTTACTTCTTGTTTCTTGTCCTTTAGACGACAGACATTCCCGAGCCAGTGGTCGCCCACCTTGCCTCCAGCCGAGTTCGTCGAGTTGTCTTGATTGGTCGCCGTGGGCCTCTGCACTCAGCCTTCACTTTGAAGGTGTTTCGAGAGCTGACTCACCTTCCTGCAAGCAAACATGGTTCTGCTGAAGAACTTGCCGTTCATTTTAGCCCTGCCGACGTTTTCGAAACAACAATGGCCACGGGTTCAGGGCTCCATCAATTTATAGCAGGTCCGTTGTTAGTCCAGGTCTTATACGTCGATGTAAAATAAGTGTTACTTTTTTGTTACAAGTAGGCTTGGTTATTAAATTTGTACTCCAACACACTTGTATCGCTCAGTGATTTCGCAAATCGTCTAAAGTCACTCGGAAAGGAAGTCTGCTAATTAATCTGTGAAATGGTTGGAATATTTTTGTGGTCATTATTTATCTTATGTAATTTAATTGTGTTTCGTTAACTGCTTATTGCCATTGATGTTACATGATTAGCATACACACAGGTCTATGTGGATCATTAAAATCCTGCTTTGAATGATTTTTTCGCTAGCAATTTTGCTAATCGTGTGCGTGTGCGTCTTGAACTATCAAGGAGTTCAATAACACGTGTGCTTGTCTGCCGAACCTTGTGCCCCTTGTCGAGACTCCTGTTATTCAAGTATCACAAATCGATGTTTAAATTCGGTCTCCTGTCGTAATTCTGCGCAGAATCGGGTCAATCTGTTTCTTATTGATTTTTCAACTCTTCCATGGAATGAACGAGTAGTTCGTGACTAAGCCAGACTAAAACACTAATGTGGGCGAAAATTCGATTGCGCTTGACGTGGTTCACAAGCAATCTCACAATCTTCTGTTCATGTGCACAGCTCAGTGACCATGTACCCCGCGAATGCTCTCTGGCGTCTTGTATTTATTTTAACATACTATGGAGTGATTTATCATATTTGTGATTATCTTCGTCTTGGTTGTTTCCATGCCCTACCCGGATCCCCACCCCTTACCCCCTTCGTGGGGTCATTCCTCATCCGACCAGGCCCCACAGTTACCAGGGTTGACATCGATTGCCGCACGTCGGCGCTCCTTTTTTCATGCGCTCAAATCTCACGGCTCCGAAGCCTCCTCGTTTCCTAGTATTTTTCCCATTGAGCACTCCTACACCCGTTTTGGACGTGGTGTTCAAGGCTACGCATTCCTGTCAACTGTTTAAGTAGACAAAATAACTGAAATTTCAGTCAATCCTTCTTGGGGTCTTGGTAAGTCCTTCCAACGCTTATTGGCTTCCTCGATGACGACGACGGCAACGACGATTGTGCCTCCCTCAACCAGCTAAACGTCTGCGATTCCTTGGGGTTGTAGGCCGTTCTCACAACAGCTGGACAGGCCGACAGTCACTGCGTGTCTTGGTCCCTTGCTTTCACACATCGCTCCGTAGTACACTCTCCAGCATTGTTCCTTCCCCCCGCCACGTTCCGTTTCTCGTCCATTTTTGTTAAACAGCGCGGTTTCAGGCCCATAAATTCTTGAACATGAAGTGTGAGTATTCTCTTTGCCGTCTTGACTCACTTTTTGCTGTGATTCCAATACGCCAACATTGCTTGCTGCATGCCTTTCAATCAAAATTCTCGAATTTACCTCTCAGTGTTTGGTGTATCCGCTTATTTACATACCTTGTAACTGGCTTGATCTCATTTCCGAAATTCTTTCCTATAATACTATTATTTAGGATCTAAAAAATTACGTGGCTCTGATTAAGAGGGTTTGTTCCCAAGTCGAAGTTATCATTAAAAGGTAAGGCTACTGCAAGAATGGGAGGCAAGTAGTAGGAGGTACGCGAGTGGCAGAATTTGAAGATCAAAAACCTTATTGAGCAAAAGCCGTATGTCCAGATGTTTATGACGCGTTATTTTTCCCTCTGTGTCAGCCATATCAACAAGTCACATTCGTTTATCCCTCCCCTTGTTTCGTCATTGCAACGCGCCCCCCCCTTCACGCCCACCTCCCACCCGTCCTTCATGCAGATGACATTATCCCTCAGTCTTTATAATACCTACCTCCGATCCCACTTAGTTGCTGAGGCTATTGTCCAATAAAGTTAGACTTTTGGTTACTCGTAGTTCGGTGAATCGTTCTAATTCAGACTTGTTGATGCTGGCCATACGACACGGCCACTTTTGAAGACGTCGGAAGGTATTTTGAGGGACTCAACTCTCCTTTTGTGTCTGCCACCGTAGTGTGCAGACTCTCACGCCTAGGCTGGAGGTGAGTCCGTCTGTAATGCAACCGAACGGGAATTCGCATGTCTGGGCCATAACTGTATATCCCCCCATCAACACTGTAGTCTCATTTGCTCCGTGGTGTGTGGATGAAGCCTGTTTTTGTAGGCCTCCCCCGTCCCCGTCGCAGGTTGACGGAGTTCCTCTTGGCGACGGCAAAGCGGAATGCCCCCACTGATTTGACAGGAAGCGACCTTTTGCATTGCGAGTTCCGGTACCTGCGCTCTCCCGTGCGAGTTATTCCACGAGCTGATTCCCACTCGGCTTCGTCCCTCCTGTCAAATGTGAAGGCCTTGGATTTGCGCATAAATGTGCTAGAGGTAAGTTTGTTAAGCTCACTTACCCGGGGCTCTGCATTAACCATGTTTTAGGCCCCAAAGTGGTACTCTCTTTTGGCTTTTGTTGATTATTAACACAGCCTCCTGCTGTAGGAAAGTCGCCTCATAGTGGTGAGCCGGGGACGCCCGTATCGATTCCATCTTACAATTTTCTGACTTAAAATACTCTATTGCTTCATGAAACCTCCTGCACCGAGCGTTTGCTTCTATTGATGCGTCACATGGCCTGGTTCACGGTCGTAAATAAAGACGCGTTAGCCTTTTTTGAATTTTCGTTCTTTGTGTTAAACCAGGGAGAGCAAAGGGTTCTGGTAAGCATCTGGTGGTACACCATTAGCAAGTGGTGCATTCCAATTTGCCTGCTGTGGAGTGTTAAAGGAAAGCCATGGCCCATTTTTAGCCTACGGGCAACAAACATCTCGGTGTAGCCGAATCTTACAACAAGTAAAACGTGGGAGTTGGTCATTCTTGCCTCACGCGGGCAGCTGTAAACGTCCAATCCCTTACTGGCAAAAAGGTAATGTCTACGCTTTTAGGGCCCTCCAAGCGATCACCAAAAATGCATTTCTGATGTGTCGGCCCCATTGGAACGCCTGGAATGTGGTCTCGTGGTGCGGAGTATCGGATATCGGAGCGTGCAAATCGATCCCGATCTTCCCTTCGACGAGGCCCGCGGGGTGGTCGCCTGCAAGGACGAGTTTGGGCGAGTGGCGGGTGAGGCTGACGGAGCTCTCCTCTACGCCTCGGGCTGGGCCAAACGCGGCGCCGTCGGCGTCATTGTCGACACCTTGACGGACTCTCGACTCACGGCCCAGGTCATCCTTCAGGACCTTGACTCAAGGAACTCCACGACTTCCGATGCGATGGGATTCCAATCGTTGCGGGAGGCGCTTCAACAAGCAGGTTTGTCTTGATAAGCTGCTTGAAACAGAATCACTGTTCAGTCACTCACCAGAGCACTAAGTAAGATCCACTTGAATGCTCTCGCAACCACCTAAACATTATTCTGCTTTGCGTGATGTAACAAACTATAACGAGTCTTCGAAGCTGCCAAGCCGCACGATCCATTCGTGCCTAGGTAGCGGCTGAGGTTTGACTATGTTACTGTAAGTGCCAAATATGCCATTAAGTACATGTTGGAAGCACGGATCTGTTTTGTGGCAATTAAAGGTTCACCCACCTATGTGTGAATGTGTTGCACTCGAGTTTCACCTGAAAAAGAGCAATGAAGCGGTAAACCACATCTCTCTTTTATATTTTCTGCTGAACAAAAATTGTTCACTTGTGTTAACACTAAATTTGAATGACAAGACTTTATCTGGAAGGTAATTGGACTGTTATAATCTACATTGTCCTCTCAGCTGAGGCCCTTCGTGCATGTTGGACCTCACGAAGGTGCTGACTAGCTAAAATCACGTGCCGATGACTAAACACCTGATTTTTAAGTTGAAAGATTTTGCCTTTTTCGTGGGGGGTGGTGGGAGTATCGTTGGTGGTCTGTGGTCGAAGGCAACAGCACCGCGTACACACATGCACACACGCACTCATCTTTTCAGGTGTACGTCCGGTGACCTTTGAGGACTGGGAGCGCATTGATACGGTGGAGCAGTCAGTCGGCCAAAGTTACGGAAAACCACGGGAGAAAATCACCTCGCTAGAGGGGCTCTTGAAGGTGGCTTTTCGTCAGGCTGCCGAATCTCGCAATCACAGACAGTAATTCCTTGCAATGCATCTCCGTTTTGAAAGTATTTCTGGCTATTTAGATGTACAGTGTATTTCTTTTCTAGTAACTCGATTTATTTAGTTTTGGATTAAAGTGACAAATTTGATCCCACTTTCTTGTGGTACAATAATATATGGTGAGCTTCGAATCTGTGTGGCAGCATTATCCTAGCTAATTCGTCCATTTTAGGGATAACTAGATCAGTGGATTAATTTAGACCATTTCAGGGAATCATTTGTTTTTATCTTGAATGATTATGGTGGTTGTTTTAGCAAATCTTCGTTTCCACTCAACTTCCTGAATTTGTTTCCCGTAGAATTCACCTGTTTTTAAGACGCTTTGCTCATACCAGGTCAAGGCTTACTGTTCGGAAACCTATTAAATTTTGCTACAAAAGCGGTTGTTATTGTCAATCTGTTTGATTGAATAAGCAGTGGGGTTGAACCTGCACCATTAGAATGCAGAATGAGGAGGCTTCAATCCCTAATCTACTTCGTAAGTCGTTCTTGTGTGAGGCTGTGGTGCATGCGTCCCTAGTTCAGACGAAAACGCTGCCGTATCCGTCGTGCTCTTTCGTAACCTTCAAACTCAGTCTTCGCTACTTGGGACCTACTTGTGGGCGTTCGTTCCACCTCGGACATCGGGGTGATGTGTACCATCTTGTTTCCTTTGAAATATCTGGACTCTTAACGCCCCTATCTGGACAACCTTCAAATTTTTAAAACACGAAAGTGGAAACCAAAAATTTGTACCAACACTTTCATCCCCAGTACGTGACCCAATTAATTTGACAGTGCCTTCCATTTCAACTCCACTCTTGCTTCGCCAACGATCGTCTGCAACCCAACGATTACCTGCTCTAATCACTCTTTCTTGGTTCAAGTCTCAGTTGACTCGGTTTCGCAAGTAATTTATGTTTGATCAGTAGTTTTACATGGCGTCTTCCGTGGAAGGTTAGGCTACTGCAATTATCTCATACAATTTGATCTCATGTGATCGTTTGTTTGTGAATGTGTGTAAATCCTCGAAACAGATCCACCTTCACCGTTGTTTTGTTGGTGTTTTCAAGAGTCATTAGGGTCCATTCGGTAAACAATTTATATTGTTCTCGCGCGGTATCTGGTTAATTAATTGAGTTCTCCAGATTGTTTTTATGGTCTCAATAATTTGGTTAGACTTCGCCTCGTTCACTTGACTGATTTAACTTTATTGCCGTGCGGTTCAAAGTGCGGAGGCGAGGGGAAGTTCTAGTTCTCGACTACTCGAAGACCTTTCAACTCTGGTTGCTGCTTTACAAGTGAGGAGGAGTTCTACGGACGCACCGATTTCGTGCTCTGTAAACGTGCCAGCAGTAATTCTCGACATCAGTTTTCGAGATTTGTCAATGGGGCTATCGATTTATTGAGGTGGATAGTCTACAAATAAGTGGAATTATCGTTTCCAAAAGAGAGAAAAATGATCCAATTACTTTTACAACAGTTGCTTATCCTTTAGACAAATGTAGGAATGCTATCCGATCCTGAGAGGTTACAGAATTCATGTATGTACGACGAAAGTGCAAGTTTTTGGAGCAGATGCGGTTGAAATGATAAAAAAATGAACGGGTTCCATATTAACACTTGCCGAATCCCCCTCTGGCCTCGAAATGTAGTTTGAAATAAGCATCAGGAATTTACGATTTTACCCCAACGATTTAAAAAGCTGGTTTATTATTTTTTAACTGGCAGTATGTTCGTCTAGGGCATATTAGGCGAAATTATTCTGAAAATCAACTAAACACACTATTTGTGAATGTGCTATAGAGCATTCCTTGACCAACTATAAGAGCAGTCTCTTAAAAAGACCGAACCTTCCACTAACTTTGAACTGGGATGAAGTTTTTCTTTTCGACAAGAATTTTCCTTACCTCATACTGACTTCTTTCAAATAATCCAGTAAAATGAAACAGCGGCCCTAAAATGCCAAAGCTCACCGAAGTAAGTTAATTTTCATCGGAAACTTACAGTCAGTCATAAATCATTTGAACAACACCGCATGTTTAATTGGGTGTTCCGAAGGTATGGATTTCCTCTACTGTGCTATGCCTCATGTTTATTCACTTTGCTTGAAGCATTACCTTGAACCGCAAACTCGATGATTTGGTGGGTGTCTTCAAGGGCATTACCGACTTGCTGGAGGTTGATTGAGCGTGTTGTGCTTGTGGTTCTGCGGTGCTTTTCTTATTAATTTGCAACCAAGGCAGAGGCCCTCCACGGCAAAGATCACGGTTCAAGATAGAATGCAACAAGCGAAAGTGTTGTTTTTGGGTATAGCCGGTGTGGGGGTAGCCTTGGTTTGCAAATGCGCGAAAACATGTAGATGTTTTGTTTAAGTGTACGTCTTTTAATTTCCAAAACAGGTTATGTTGATGATTTTATCCCAATGTTCTGAACGATTGCACCCAACAAGTATTCTAGTACGTTACTGAAATCGATGATGCAGGCAAGTATATGCCGGAAAAAATCGAAGAGATAATTAAAACTTCATGAAAAATTAAAAAAAATGCTTTACCTAGAAATAAGGACAGCCTTGTTATCCGCATTACTTGCTCAGCAAGCATACAGCATTTTGGTCCTCGTAAGTGACAGAGCTATCACGCAAAAGAAGTGAACTGAAAACAGAGTTAGCCCCGAATTTAGCAAGCACTTGTTTCGGCGCAAGCCTTAGTATTTCTCGCGACTGGCGAAAACGCTGGCATCACTTAAATAGTAAATAAAACGAACCTAACCTGTTATAGTTATACTTTGTGTTTTTATCAATTGACCGGAATTCGCCTTTTGGGCAAGACGAAAAACATGTTTGCCTATCCACATTAGCGGAAAATGCATCAAAAGTAACCTCGCAAGTCGGCAGTGAAAGATCACCAATATGACTAATCCAGTCAATATTCCACAGGCAATGCACCTTTCTAGTTCATATTAGGCGGAAAAACTGACGGAGTAAGAAAAGGCTTTTGAAATAAATGAGAGAATGAGATATGAAGGCTTGCCGTTTTCGAACTGTTTGACACGTGTGGTGAGTCTGGTGGTTCCAGTTAGATGAGAATTCTCAAAGGAACGTGTGTTTGGAGACGGGAAAAGGTAGCCTTGAGTCACCGCCTCAACGAGTGTTGTTTTGACATCAGTCACATGAGCGCAACAGGCACTGTCGTAATCAACTGAAAGTGTTTAATATACACAGAAAAACATAAAACTGGAGTTCAGTTAGACTCTGGGGAGGTAATAGACCGAGGTTCTTACACAAACTAGGAGCTAGTAAATACTACCACGAAATAATGATTTTGACAGTTCGATTTGTGGAATTTTGCAAATGCGCTAGTTTTCATAAAGAACTCCAATTAGGAAGTCTAGCCACATGGATGTCGCAATCAAATTCAGACTTAGGTCTGATTGGCAGGATAAAAGTTAGGAGATTGTTTGCCATAATCGACGCTTTCAGTTGTCAGAGTAGTCTGAATAATTGACCTTTGTTCCCTTGCAATATAAAATGAATTCACCGCTTGTGGGGAGTACCTTAGTATCTCTTACGGCGAAACGGTACTTCATAGGACAAACGTGTGCGTAGATTACAAATCGATAACCAGGAAGATACGAGTAAAGCACATGTAGGTAACTATTGACGAAAAGACTCTGCAAACCGAAAAAAGTGAGCATCGCCTTTGATTCCTTACGTCTTCTTAAAGCTCTGCTGTCAAATCCACGTGAACATCTAAAATCAAGATGCTGCTGAAACAGGACGACCTGGAAAAGCCAGTCAACATTGCCTTACTAACCCTAACATGTGTCGGAAATACTACTTTCCTGTGGTTCTAACACCGAAGCAATGTTGTTGAAGCAACGGACACGATTTCGATAAACTTCTGGAAGATTTTGGAAGCGTCGCAAAGATTCAGACATTTCTTGGGATTTAAGTGCTTTGAATTTGCAGTAGTGATTGTCCTTGGTGCATGTTACACGGCCTTAGCAACCCAGAATTTCTAAAGCGACCAAGTCTTCAACCCGTCAGAGACCAGGCGATTAGTAAGTACACTGAACGGAGACGTTTGAACGGCTAAGGAAATAGTCATCTCGATGTCAACTCTAATTGCTCTCAAGTCCAAACAGCTTTATTTCGCGCGGCAGCTCATCTTTGTACATTAATTGGCCATTCTTGTAGCTGCGATGCAATATGCATGGTCGACTAACGAATATGAAACTTTGTTATGTTAGTGAATTCTGCATAAAGATTAATTCAGTAACAATGGAGGGAGATTCCTATAAGGTGACAAGGGCTTTAAGTGCATATATTGCCATCAAGAGTCAGAGAAGGTTGGGACAACCTGGCGTCACTCAATCCAACCAGAGACTCCCCAGACACTTGCTGTTTGCAGGTACGAGATCACCTCTGTAGTTGTGGCTGGGGAACTGCACATGGCCATTCTCTAGCAATCCCGAATTGTGGGAATGAAAATGTCCGCATGAATTTCCATGGTAATTTCTTGTTTTATGTCACAAACAGCAAACCTCGGTGACTCCAATTTCTTCCTGTTTGATCGGCAGGGTTATGGAATCTTTATATATATCAGCTATTGTCGCAAAGAGAACAAAACATGCGCAAACAAATTTCACACTAATGTAAAGCAAATCTTGAGGATAAGACGAGTTTGTGAAACCTTGGTACTGAAACGGTCAACATTTAAACAAAAAGTAGACAATCCGGTCGTTGCATGCTCAGACTTGTTGTGCTATGGCGTCCTCATGTACCCTCTGTTCATGTGTGTCTCCCCTTTTACTAGTTTTACTTATCCACACATTCAGCCACTTGTAACTTTACAACTTCAATGTCTATTAATCAAACAGGAATTTTGTTATGCACACGAAAACACAGCTTGATGGAGACACCTAAAAAAACGGCCTTCCGCACCATCGCCCGTCCTCCTAATCTTCTCGAGTACCAGTGTGGTGTGGTTGGGCCAGCGCAGCGCGGCGGCCCCGTTGAGGTTTTCTGGCTGCACCACTGAAATGCCGGCTGAGCATAAATAACCAAAGGTCCGATGATCAAGCGCGCTTTCGAACTCCTGTCTTCAAAAGATCAAAGCCTTTTCTTGGCTACATTATTTGTCCGGTCGGTTCATTATCTTCATTGAAATGCCACTCATAAAGGGGTACAATATTTACCCTACTTGCGCTTTTACAGTCAGTATCCTGCGAGCTCCAGTCTGAAGTCGAGGGGTTGTCCATTATTTACGTGGGACAATAAAATGTTTTCTGCTTACGAACCCTCATTTAAGACAATAGGAGCGTTTATTAGCTTTACCTTTTTCTTGCCTTTTGCCCCAATTCTCTCGTTCATAACTGCCATCGTCTCAAAAGAGTGTTCACACGCAAGTTAATGGCCTTATTCTCCAGTAATTCAACTACTGGCGATGTTTCTCCTGCACAGGAATTAGGGCACAAGGAAAACGCCAAGCCATTTTTTCATCGTGATCCAAACGCATGAATATCCTGTAGAGGATTGCAAGGACAGGACCAGGAACCCTCAAGACTTTTGTAAGAGATGACGCAACATTAACACTTAAAGTTTTCTCTCACTGAAACAGGGTGGTGTGGTTGCTGCGGCCATCATAAATGGGGATAAGTGGCTAATCCATAATAGCCCGGAGACTTCCCATGCCATGTCAATATGGAAAGTCAGACACATGCGATTTTATAAATAGTCGTACCACCAATCTGAAGAGCTCTCAAACATTCATAGAATTACGCAGAAAAATTCGTGATTATCTTGATTAGAAATTAATTAATCGAATGTATCGTGACTAGAATTTTCTACGGTTTTACGTTGACTCAGTTGGTTGTCTGTTATTCTCCAGTGTTTTCCCCATTTTTCGGTCTATTTGGCGTCTGCCCAAGCCGGAGAATAATCAGTCGACCGACAATGGCTATAAAAATCATCTATGATATGCACGAAATCAAGTGTAACTATGTGCCTGGGTGTGGTACAAACGTTATCGAGGATGATTACACATTTTAGGAACTCAAGAGATGAGGGAGATCTCGTGAGTTGATCAACTCATCTAAGCTCGGGGATAAGAAAGACCAAGTAACACGTTTACTCACCTGGTTGTCAGAACACGTCTTCGTGGCATTGAATATTTTGACACGTGGTTAGCACCAGTTTGATCTGCGTCTTTTTTGTCTCCAACCGTCTTATCACGGCAACCATTGCGTTTACCGGTAGCTGCGAGGTTTTCACGAAGAAAATGTGCTTATTTAACATTGAGAGACTATTGTATCGACCATCGATAATTAACAACTGCCCAAAAGAGTGGAAAAGTAGAAATTATGGGGTTGGCAGTGCCATCAAAACGTTTCTCAGTTGTAGAGCACCATAAATATTTTTTTTAGAATCTGCCCAGCAGATGCGAAGCTTTCTTCGTCGAATTTATAGCTGAAGGGGCTTAATGCCCATTCTCAGCCTGGAACATTTATTCTCTAAGAAAGCCAGAGAGTTATCCAATTTCAAGTAGTCGTTGCAGCGGGCTACCAGTCAAGACCATTGAATAAACCAATAAAAAGGGTTAGATATATCAGTTACCTGTCAGAGTTACAATACCTGCGTAAAACTGGTGTTCTGGTGTTTATTTTTGAATAAATAAGCATAAATTTATTGTTTTGATCCAGGTATACTTTTCAATAACCATACCCCTAACGGTCATCTGCCTTCCAAGTGGAATGAACTCCACTATTATATTTAAAATGATTTAAGAAGAGTTAAATCTTACTTTGTCAATCCGGTTGTAGTGCCATCATTCACTATTAATATTTTTTGTGTTATTTGTGTTAAAATACCAAATCAGATGTATGTACACACGTTTGCATTCAAAAAATCGGTTATGTCAATTGAAATGAAATGTAACACTTTGGACGGCTAAGACGCTTTTGTTGTCACTTGATATTTTTAGAGTCCTTGGTTACTTCTGGACAGTTGCATTTCGTATGTTTCCAGAGTCTAACTTTGTGCTGACATTACGATGTTTGGTGAGGCGTATTTTGTGCGATTTTTGTCTACTCGACCGCAGTTACTTAATCAACGAAAATCTCAAGACTGTACGAAGCACTGAACTGAGTCCTCATACTGGAACACGACATTCTACCTTACTGGGGTGAAT